ACAGACTGAGGACGATGTGTTTGAGGATCATAGAAACATCTTGTCACCTTCAGCTGCAGGACGAAGCGCTGTGAGGTGTCATGAAGCAGTTTGAAGTCTTCTGTGAGTTGTGGAGTTGATCATTGTTGCTTTTCCATCAGGTGTAAGCTGATCTGCAGACCTGAAATAAACCAAATGGACGTTGAGTTGCTTCCTCGGAGAAAAACAGTGTTTTATATTTGGGATAACGTCGCCATCGCCCTGCATGTGGACAAACAGGTATCTTCACTGCTTATTCTCTGCAGACAGCTGCAGCCTCTAATGTTAAAGAAGGAAACCGATGAACTGTTTCCTCCAACATCATGTCATTAGATCATTAATGATTTTGTTTTGTTCTTTTTCATTTTCAGGTGCTGAAGTTTGATGCTGATCAACTGAGAAAGAACCTCAAGTTCTGCCCTCGAGGCGCAGCAGCAATCGGGACTTTCGATAATTTCAAGGAAGCTGAAAACCAGGTTAAGCGCTTGTGGCCGGACTGTGACTCCCCACTGGAGAAAGACTGTCCACTCACGCAGCGTTTCATAGGTATCACAGCTGCAACTCACTGAGTCGAACTGACTTCCCGATCAGCAGCTTTCCTTTGACCAGGCTGCAATGAAAACACGATCCTGCAGTGTTGGTATCTGGTCAATGGTCTGGCGTCGTGTAATAGTCTGCATGTGGTTTTTATTGTCGTATTGTATTGTATTGTATTGTATTATATAGTATTGTATGAGTTGCATGTGGACCAATTCCTGCCCCGGGTGTGTTTGCTCAGGTGATTATCTACTCGCATCTCACACACAGGCCCTGCTCACGCTCACCTGGGGAAGAAGAAAGGAAAAGAGACAGGAGGGGGAAAGGAGAGACAGCTGCTAAGCAGAGCTAGAAGCGATTGGCATGACGCGATCAGCATGTATCTGCACTGAGTAACCATGACAACAGACATGTAGACGTCAACAAGCAAACAGCTAATTTATTACTGAAATGATTTAGGATGATCACATTCGCTGAGCAGCTTGCTAATCTGAAATTTTATGATCATTACAGTATTTACAGTAATTTTGGATATTTTTTGAGTCCTTCTTGGAGAATTTTTACTCATTTTGGGAAAATGTTTGAGCCATTTCGAGTCATTTTGTAAAAATATTTTGGGTCAATACAGGCAATTTTTGATTTGTTTCGGACAGTTGAAGTCATTTATATACATTTTGAGTAATTTTGTGACATTTTTTTGTCATTTAGGACGTAGTCTTATTGGACAGGTTATGAGTTATTTAAAAAACAAACAAAAAAACAACAACCTGTGAGTCAGTTTTAGAAAGTTATGAGTCACTTGGACACATTTTAAATTATTTTTTGAACATCTTTGAATCATATTGGACTAATTTTAGGTCATTTTTGGAAGATTTTAGATATTTTTTTGTTATGTCAGACAAAGCTTTTGCCACTTTAGACTAATTTTGATTTGTTTAAGACTACATTTGATTCATGTTAAATAATTTTTTAGTAATTGTGAAAGAGTTTTTGTCGGTTTGGACAGTGTTCAAGCCATTTCACAAAATGTTTTTGGGTCAGTCTGGACAAATCAAGTCATTTGGAACAATCTTTGAGTCATTTCAGTCCAGTTTTCAGTCATGTTGGACAAGTGTTCAATCATTTTTAAACTAATGGTCAATCAGTTTGCACAACTTCTTTTATCGGTTTGGACACATTTCTAGTCATGACAACTTTTGAGTCAGTTTGAAAATAGTATTTGACTCATTTTAATAAGCTTTGAGTTATTTTGGAAGTAGTTATTTGAGTTACTTTGGACAAATGTTGAGTCATTTTAGCTGAATTTTGAGTCACGTTATACGTTTGAAGTCCTTTCGGACAAGTGTTGATTCATTTTGTACAAGGTTTTGTCATGTTTAATATCTTTTGGGGTGAGAATAGAGTCATTTTGGACAAATATTTCAATAATTTGACATTTTTTCCCTTTTTCACATCTTCGTTTTTTTTCTTTTAACAGTATATTTGATGTTGTGTGTCTCTATGTTCCAGTGCCAGCCCACAGACTGGTTCTTGTTGGGAGGACTGGATCAGGGAAGAGCTCCAGTGGAAACATCATACTGAGAAGAGACACCTTCAGTGCTGGTGGTGCTGCTGTGAAGCCACCTTTTCCCAGTATTGGTAAAACCTTTGTGTGCATGGAAAGAAGTTGTTGATTCCACACTTCATAGAATTTTAGGTTTTGTTATTTATGATTGGTGTCATTCTGACTGGGTCATTCAGCACAGAAGACATAACTGAGTTCTTCATGGTTCTTTTTCGGTAGAGGCGCAGGAGGCCCACAGTGAGTGAAAATGTAACAGGAGAAAAAAACAAAACAAAACATATATATTTGGGGTTTTTTTTGTTTGTTTTTTTTCTTCTGTTACATTTTCACTCACTGTATATATATATATGTAGAGAGAATTAAACAAAATTTTACTTAATTCTGCATTAAAAGAGTTGAGATGAAAACCTCCGCCACGGCCCTGCCTGGTACTTTCCTGTCCCTCTTTTCCTCTCCCTCCCTCTCTCTCTCTCTCCCTGTCAGTTCCCAGGCGGCAGTCATCAGGAAAAATCAGAGGCAGCTGCATCACCTGGGTCTCATCGCCACGCGCAATAAAACCCTTCTCATCCCTCCACTCTCCGCCAGATCGTAGACTCTGTTATTACAGTCAGTCCATCCGGCTCATTTTGCAGTTTAATCCTTGCCTTGCTATGACACTAACTCTGCTCTGCTCTGCCTGCAGTTCTTCGCCAGTTGTCGTCCCATTTCCTGCGTGCCTGTCTGCGAGCTCCAGCCGTTGCTGCCATCCACCGTGCATCAGCAAAATCCCTTTGATTCCCCAGCTCAGGGCTGCACTCAAAAAAGTAGTTTGTTGAACTTACTTAATACAGTTATGTCAACAATTTCCACCTAACTCAGTTAAGTTAGAACTAATATTAAAATGGCAATAACTAACTTAAGTGTAAGCAAAATGACTGCATTAAGTGACTCCAACATTATCTGAACAACTCATACTTAGTTAATAAATTAGTGTCCAGCTAACTTAACAGACAAACTTTAATTTGACATAATACCATTTCCTTCACTTTAATTTAATGTGTTAATTAATACCAACATAAAGGTTTTTGATTGGACTGACTTTACTCACTTTTGTAAATATAACTCAAACGTATTTGGTAAGACCAACTAAACAATAACTTATAGTTCCTACATAACCTACTTAATTAAGGGTAGCAGCCACTGGATTTTGTTGTACTCAACTGCTTTTAATTATTCTAATGATACTGATTTTAAGTAGACTCACTAAACCCCATTATGTCAACAGTTTCCACACAGTGAAGTTAAGTGAATTCAAATCAAAAACCCTGTTTCTGTGAAAAATCCAATTTATTGCCAATAAAACAGACAACTGGTCAGCTGTCAGGGTTCAAAATAATGTCAGTCAACATCTTCCACCTTCATACATCGGTCTTAACAATGTTTAACCATGGTCCCAAAACAAAAAAAACTAAAATGGTACCATTCACTCAGTTGGCAATCTCTNTCCTCTGCTGACTGACGACCCGAACGCCGTCTGTGTTTACAAAGATGGCCGCTTCATCTGGAGGCCGTACGCCATAAGTGAGACACACGGGTAAGACCTACAAACAGATAAATGTAATGGGCTTTTTGAAATTGTACTCACATTGTACTGACAAATTCATCTGTGAGTTTATGATTATTGGGATTTAACAGATCAATGTGGAAGTCTCCACACATGAACACAGTTTTGTTGCCCTTTTTTTTGAAAACATGGCCTCCATCCACTCCTTGAAACTTTCAACACTTGATCCCGGTGACCTACATATACAGCTAATAATGATATTTTTATTCTTTCCATTGCAGATCTCAATTGTTATGCATTCTAATAGGTTTTCTACCACAGCTGTCACGTTATCCAACACCTTAAAGTCCAGCCTTTCATCCACATATATCACTTCATCTCCTCCACCTTTATTTTTTCTATTTTTGTACTTCAGTTCATAACTCTCCGCCTCAAAGTTTCCATGTTTATCCAGGTTTCCGATATTGCAATTATGTTACATGGGTGTGAAATTTTATGTAGATATTCCTTGATGTTATCGAGGTTTGCATACAGGCTTCTGCTGTTGAAGTGGATGATTGATAATTTGTCCTTTGACTTCGTGTTCTGCTTGGACTGTTCATCAGTGTAGCAGTGACACTTGCTGCTAAAGGCGGAGCAGAAATGATTGTCTGGGTCTATTTCATGATCCAAGTCCTTCAAATTGTATTCGTTGCGTTGAAATATTTTCAGTTCAGATTGGTCCTGTTCACTTATTCCCTGAGTTGTGTGTTTGTCGTCTTCAGATGCAGACTGAGTTCTGTCAGTGAGTGTCATGGTCGCACATGTTCTGGATCCTTTTTCCTTTTGAAAATCCTCTGTCTTTATGAAAAAGATATACTGTGTGAATATGACCTAACTTTTCTGAAAAACCCAAACCAGCTCTCCAGAAATGTTCTCACTTTGGGGAATTGTTGTCAGTTATTGAAAAATGTCAATTTTTTTTTTGAAAATGTTCTCACTTGTGAAAACAAAACAAAGCTACTAGAAAATTCCTCACTTTTCAAAAGCATTTTTTTTTTCAGATTTTTAAAATGCCATCACTTTTTGAAGTCTCTACACATTCTGAAAAATGTCCTCACACAGACACAGACTGAGGACGATGTGTTTGAGGATCATAGAAACATCTTGTCACCTTCAGCTGCAGGACGAAGCGCTGTGAGGTGTCATGAAGCAGTTTGAAGTCGTCTGTGAGTTGTGGAGTTGATCATTGTTGCTTTTCCATCAGGTGTAAGCTGATCTGCAGACCTGAAATAAACCAAATGGACGTTGAGTTGCTTCCTCGGAGAAAAACAATGTTTTATATTTGGGATAACGTCGCCATCGCCCTGCATGTGGACAAACAGGTATCTTCACTGCTTATTCTCTGCAGACAGCTGCAGCCTCTAATGTTAAAGAAGGAAACCGATGAACTGTTTCCTCCAACATCATGTCATTAGATCATTAATGATTTTGTTTTGTTCTTTTTCATTTTCAGGTGCTGAAGTTTGATGCTGATCAACTGAGAAAGAACCTCAAGTTCTGCCCTCGAGGCGCAGCAGCAATCGGGACTTTCGATAATTTCAAGGAAGCTGAAAACCAGGTTAAGCGCTTGTGGCCGGACTGTGACTCCCCACTGGAGAAAGACTGTCCACTCACGCAGCGTTTCATAGGTATCACAGCTGCAACTCACTGAGTCGAACTGACTTCACGATCAGCAGCTTTCCTTTGACCAGGCTGCAATGAAAACACGATCCTGCAGTGTTGGTATCTGGTCAATGGTCTGGCGTCGTGTAATAGTCTGCATGTGGTTTTTATTGTCGTATTGTATTGTATTGTATTGTATTATATAGTATTGTATGAGTTGCATGTGGACCAATTCCTGCCCCGGGTGTGTTTGCTCAGGTGATTATCTACTCGCATCTCACACACAGGCCCTGCTCACGCTCACCTGGGAAAGAAGAAAGGAAAAGAGACAGGAGGGGGAAAGGAGAGACAGCTGCTAAGCAGAGCTAGAAGCGATTGGCATGACGCGATCAGCATGTATCTGCACTGAGTAACCATGACAACAGACATGTAGACGTCAACAAGCAAACAGCTAATTTATTACTGAAATGATTTAGGATGATCACATTCGCTGAGCAGCTTGCTAATCTGAAATTTTATGATCATTACAGTATTTACAGTAATTTTGGATATTTTTTGAGTCCTTCTTGGAGAATTTTTACTCATTTTGGGAAAATGTTTGAGCCATTTCGAGTCNAAGTACAAGTTGATAAATTCCATACTTTGTGTGGTAATGTTCGTACGCACTCACTACGCACATATCAGTGTGTATGCACTGATGATAAATGAGGCCCCTGGACTCCAATGTAGGATATAATGAATGTTATTCAGAAAATCTCCGGCTTTAAGCTGTCCTGCCGGTGGTTTTACGGTTTCATACTGTCGTCCTTTCATGGCGTCTCATGTATTGCTGCAGCATCCCATATTAAATGTGCTACACTATAAATATTAAACTGAGGCTTGACTTTAAAAACATCATGTTGCAATAACTACAAAAGTGGATAATAGATAGATAATAGACGGAAAGAAAACAGAGATATTAACATGTACGCAGGTAGACAGGAGAACAGATGTATCAGTGCAGCGACTATTAATGGAGACTAATATGCGAATCATCAACAAATACCTTCTCCAGAACCCTAGACATTGTTTGATTGTGTAAAATAGAGCATTTGGGGTATACAGTGGTTGTAAATGATAGGAGAAAAATAATTCACTCTTGCAGCTTTGACAGAACACTTGTAAAGTACCAGATGACGTTTAGAATATAAAATGAGACGTATAGCCTGTCTTTTGTCCATTTGCATCCAGCTTTGCATTCAGCCTTTCACCGTGGCATGCATGTGTTCTGTAAACCAAGGCTGAGTTTTAGCTCCTGGTTTTGTCCCTCTCAGTGGTGTGACGGTGTCCAGGATACGTCCACCGGTTGATTTAAAGTCAAAGATTAATTGTTCAGCGTTTATTTGAAGGGGCTGTGCTTTGGGACAAGTCTGAAGGTATCGAGGAAGGTGTAAGTAGTGGACGCATGTATAGAGCAGGAGTGGTGGAACAAACGGTCGTGGAGTGGCCCGATAAACCTGACACAAACGTGATCTGAGAACCACAAGTCCTCTACTTGTAGGTCAATGACTGTCAGTCCTAATGTAAAAACCAAATCCAAACTGTGGCCGTGGTTGTGAGTAGGGCTGGTGACGTGATGTGTGAGGAGTCCATAGTGCTAAAAGACTCAGCAGCAACGGCTTTGGATTGTGTCCAGATGGAAGTAAGAACCCCCAGAAGTTCAAGTCCTGCCAAAGAATTCATGATAAAACTGAGAAAAAAATGGTAATTTGGAGGCCAAAGGTGGCTATATTCACCAGGTTCCAACCACGTTTCAGTCAAAAATGAAAAAGTCAAGTGAAGTGGTGGAGATAAAAAATGATGAGACTAAAGGTCTTACTAGTAGTAGTAGTAGGACTGTAGTAGGACATCTCAGGGTACCAGTTTAAGGTTAGAAAGTATATTTTTTGACTCATGGTACTTTTCTCCCTGTTCTTGGTGCGATGGTTTAGAACAGTGGTTCTCAAACTTTTTGAGCCACGACTCCCAAGATAACATAAGTTTGTGTTTGTGACCCTGCAATTTGAATTTTTATTCTGGCATGAGTAATAACTTTGTTGTTCATGCATTAATGTGTTTAAAATTAATGTGTTAAATCCACAGATTCATCTCTTTACATTAACACATTGATTTTCTTTTAAATGAATGAACTGAATTTATTTTGAACAAATGAAAGGGAAAAAAATATAAAAACAAAAGAAAATAATTTCAAAAAGAGCATAAAAAAACAATAATAATGTCACATAATCAATCATAATATTAAAAGGTTTGAAAAAGGAGAGGGAAGAAGTATACACTTTTAATTTTGACAGCCACATACACATTTGTTTGATAAATATAGACTTTATTTTTATCTTTTTTTACAATGATCTGGCGACCCCCTGAAATGATCTTGACAGCCAGTTTGAGAACCACTGGTTTAGAAGGCGGATTGGAGGTTGTTTATTTTTGATGGCGTGTCTGTCAGGATGATATGTATAACATCAGGATTGGTGATTTGAATAACAATGCAAATTTCCAAATGGGAAAAGGAAGTGATATTCTATTCAGGTAAGGGGAGGCACTTGAACTTGTCATTGTGGTTGGCAGGGATGAAGCACCATTCATCACTGAGCAGTCGAGTCTTTTAATTTGTCTTTTTGATCCTCATCTAAACATGCCGATGAAGACACGGAAAAACAGGAGAGGACGTTATGAACATTATGTCAGCTGTCGACACTTAAACCCGGATGTTTTGAAAAAGGAAGCTCGACATTTGGGAAACCGGTACCTCTACAAAGAAAACATCCCAGATTACCCCCATCCGGAGTTCCATGTGGCTCATCTGAAGCATGACACAGACCGACAGGGGTTATGTGGCATCAGGAGGGACGAAGGCTTCAGGGTTCCACACAACGGCTTCAGGGATCCACACGGAGGCATCCTGCAGTGGTGGAGTCTGGCTGTGGGTCCTGACGAGGTGAAGGCAGCTGAGACGAGGCTCCTGCAGCAGAAATTCTCCGACCTTACGGATGATCAGGCTGCCATGCATCCCAGCTTCCTCTATAAGTTTACCACCTCTCCAGCCTTCTCAGAGAAGTCCAGGCTGGGCTCGTACCGCTTCACCTTCCCCCTGGAGGAGGTGCTGGAGGCCTACCGCCTGCAGGTAGGAACTCTGGGAAATTACATCCAATCTATCTACATGGTCACTTCTCAAGAGGATATTTTAAAATGCACACGTCATGAATGTGTTTTTGTTTTTTTATCAGCGATAGATGTACTTACTAACCATACACAACTATGAAAAGAACACAAAATAATTACAAAGAGACACAAATGTCATCCGTCGTGTGATGAGTGCTAATCTGCCATCAGTGGTGATAATCTGTGTTGTTGTTGGTACATTTACAGAGACTCTGATGAATGAGTTCTTCTTGTACAGTGAAGTCAGAGTCCTCCAGTAAAACATCTGTTATTGTTTCAGTTTTGTTCTGGGGATCAGCCGGTCATGCGGGTGTACGAAACTGTCCTGTACAAACAGGAAGTGCAGCACACTGTGTTGGTCCACAGTCCAGCCAATCAGGAGCTCTTCTCC